CATTGGAGCTAGTTGGATTCCAAAAATTACATATAAGAATTCCACATTTCTTACATATTACTCAAATTTGGCAGAACTAAAGCCCAAAAAGACAATTTCATATTTCACCTATTTTTATCACTTGTAAAATAAAATAAAAAAATTAAAATCAAGTATCATAATTAGAGCTGGCAAAATGGGCCGAGCCCGCCGGGCGGGCTGAGTTTTTCAACTCGCCAGCCCACCAAGATCGCCCCGCTACGGGACGGGCTAGCCCGCCAAACCCGTTTTTTTATTATTATTTTTATTTATTTTAAGTTACTCAAATTAGATAAGATCAAAATATTTTCTTCATTCAGACACGCAAAAAATCTTGAATCCTGACCCACGTGACATGACAGCGCTGATCATGAAAAAAAAATTCTTTGCTGCTAGAAATCTTTGAGCATCACCGTCAGTCAGCATCCTTTCCTTGTAACTCTTTCTCGACGCCAGCTCCTGCAAGGAAACCGCATGGTATATTTGGTTTAAGCGAAAGCTACACACGCATTAAGTCATCTTCATTCTTTTGATAAACTATCGATTAAGTCATTTGGTTTATCAAACCGCATGGTATATTTGATAAACTATTGTAACCCATTTTTTTTATTATTATTTTTGTTCTTTTTCACTATCGATTATCTGCAACCATTAAGTCATCTTCATTCTTTTTTCTTCTTTAGTCACATCTTCATTCTTTTTTACTTGTCAAAATAATGTGCAATGAAGTAATTTTTGTTTTATGTAGGATCCTTCTAATGAACTTTGCTGCAAATCGTTGGAAGTGTCTGCTAAGGTATGTTTTGTATTGTTATGGTTTTCTATCATACTATTTTGATTGCACCTTTTCATCTATTGTGTGTTTTGGAAGCTGTGATATGTGAATGTAATATTGAAATGGCTATTGCTATTTTGTTCGGTTTTATTTTGATTTGTTTTTTCTTCTTCCTCAACCAAGAGATTTTTGGATTTTGGATTTTTTTTTTGTGACTTATCTTTTTAATTTGAATGCTTGATATTATGTTTATAGTCTATTTATAACACTGAATGGAACCCTAAACTTTTTTTGATGTTTAATTGATACCTGTGTTGTCACGTAATACTTAGTGAGAGTGATGTTTAATTGATTTCACATCATAACACTATTACCCAATTTGCATTTATAATATGCTCTTCCTTCAGCGAAAAAAATGTGCACATGGATGATAGTACTCTGCATCCTTGGTATTCAATAATGCAGATGAGGAAATTGATTTTGAATTTTTCTCTTTCTTTAAGGGTTAAAAAAAATCTAAATGCTATATTATGTTTGAAATGAGGTCACTAAATTAGTTTTGTATATTTTGATATTTGCAGAATTGCAGTTGATTATTTTATCTAATATCTGCATTGAAATGGAAACTATTACAATTGATATCCCTATTGATATTGAATCTAATGATGTGGAAAAAAGTCAAGAAGAATCTCAAAGCAACAAAAGGGTCAAGATATCAACAGCAGATTGTTGGAAATTTTTCACAAAATTAGGACCCGATAAGGATGGTGTTGAAAAGGCAAAATGTAATGCTTGTGGTCAAGAGTATAAGGCTGGTGGAAAAACACATGGAACAACATCTTTAAATCGACATATTGAAAAGTGTAAAGAAATCAAATTTGAAGATATAGGTCAGATGGTGATAGATATGCACGGTAGATTGAAGCCGGGAAAGATAGATCAAATGGTGGCACGTGAGATGTTGGCAGTTGCAATTATTGAACATGATTTGCCATTTAACTTTGTTGAATATGAGAAGATTAGAGAATGGGTAAAATACTTGAATCCTGACTTTGTTCCTATTTCAAGAAATACTGCCAAAAGTGATATCCTAAATATTTACAAGAGAGAGAAGGAGAAGCTGAAGCTAACAATAGCTAGCATTCCTGGTAGAATTTGCTTAACTTCTGATTTATGGACATCTTGTACAACTGAAGGTTACATATGTTTGACAGCACACTTTGTAGATAAAAAATGGAGGTTAAATAGCAAAATTATCAACTTCCAACATATGCCTCCTCCTCACACTGGATTTGAATTGTCTAAAAAAATACTTGGTTTCTTGAAGGAATGGGAAATAGAGAAGAAGGTTTTTAGCCTTACTTTGGATAATGCATCTTCCAATGATAATATGATTGGTCATATTTTAAAAAGTCAACTTGTTATGCAGAATATGTTGTTATGTGATGGAGAATTTTTTCATGTGCGTTGTTCTGCACACATTTTGAATCTAATTGTGCAAGAAGGGTTGAAAGTAGCTAGTGTTTCTTTGATGAAGATTAGAGAGAGTGTCAAATATGTTAAGGGCTCAGAAGGTAGAGCAATAAAATTTAAGGAATGCATTGAATATGTTGGAGATGTTGACAATTCAATTGGCCTGCGCCTGGATGTTCCTACTAGATGGAACTCTACTTATTTGATGCTCCAAAGTGCTCTTAGTTACCAACGTGTGTTTGCATGCCTTCAATTGAATGACAACCATTATAAATTTTGTCCATCAGCTGAAGAATGGAAAAGAAGAGAAAAACTTTGTATTTTCTTGAAGCCATTTTATGATATTACCACCTTGATTTCTGGCACATCTTATCCTACTTCCAACATGTATTTTGAGCAGGTTTGGAAAATTCAATGCATTCTAATTCATCATTTGAATGATGAAGATGAGGTTTTAAAGACTACGGCTGAAAATATGTTGTTGAAGTTTGAGAAATATTGGGATGAATATAGCGTTCAACTTGCATTTGGATTTGTTCTTGATCCCCGGATGAAGTTAGATTCATTGAAATTTTGTTACTCACAAGTTAATGAATCTACAGTTGATCAAAAGGTAGAGCAAACAAGGAGAAAGTTGTACATGCTCTATGAGAAATATGCAAGTAATAATTCTTCTACTTCCACTTCCACTGATCAAAGTGATATTACATCTCTGTCATCAAGTGGGTCAAGGTCAAGGGATAAGAAAGATTGGGAATTGCCAATGTTTGGTGTAAGTTTATATAGTTTATTTACTTTAAATTCTATCCTTTTGTAAGCATAATCTTACTTATAGTTTCATTTTTCATGTTACAGAATTTGAAGATGCTCAATCATCACCTTGCAATAAAAACTGGAAGGTCTCAACTTGACATTTATTTGGAAGAGTCATCATTGTGTTTTGAATATTATGAACATTTGGATGTATTGCAATGGTGGAGGAAAGATAGTAAACGCTTTCCAGATCTATCGTTAATGGCTCATGACTTATTGAGCATTCCTATCACCACTGTGGCATCTGGGTCTGCATTTAGCATTGGGGCACGTGTCCTTAATAAATATAGAAATAGTCTCTTGCCCAAATGTGTTGAAGCTTTGATTTGCACCCGTAATTGGTTAAATGATTTTCATGTCAATGGTAATTTATTTAAATTGAATGTATTTGCTATATTATTTTCAACCATAATTTTTTGTTAATATGATTATTTTCTTTTTTGAATTGTGATTTGTAGATAAAGATGTTGAAGATGAAATTTTAATTGTGGCATCAAATAACGAACAACATGGTGAATCGTGATTGTGTTGGAAGTTTGAGTGGTTTTTTTGTTTATGTTTTTAGTGAGATTAGTATTTTGGATATATTTTGGATGTATTTTGCTTCTCACTTCTAACTGAAATTAGTATTTTGCTAATAGAATTGTCAAATGTTGTTCATGAAACCATAGTCCTAGTCCCACTGTCAACGTCAAAGTTACGGCTTTTTGGAGAAAGCTAATGCAATCCGCCAAGTATTGTTATCTAATACTCTTTTCCTTTATTGTTTTTGGTGTTTGCAATTTATATCTAACTTAGCATCCATAATGGAGAAACTTTCAGGCTGTTGCAGCGACCAGCAAGTGATGATGGCTAAGATGATGATAACTGGAGTGATACGTGATTTTTATTTTAGTTTTTTTTATTTTCATACATGAATAGTCCTCCATGTTATTTAGCCTCTTAAAGTGATGTTGCATAAGGCTTTGTTGTATTTGTATGTACGTTGTACGCATGTGTGAATCAATCTTGTGTATATATTATTAAGTATAGTGCAGCAGCAACATCTAGTTTCTCTAATTTCATTTTCAATCGAATTTGTCTTTACATGTAGTTTTTGCTTTGAGTATCTGAGCAGGCTGATTGGTGATTTCCATTAAAAAAAGATTATTTAGAGTACTCAAACAAGTAATTAATATTGTAAAATCTCAATACATAGGCGGGCTGGCGAGGCTAGGCGGGCTGGCGGGGCGGGGCGGGCTGGCTTTCTTAGCCCACTATCAAAAGCGGAGCGGGGCGGGCTAACTCATTTTTTGGCGGGCTTATGGCGGGGCGGGGCGGGCGGCCCGCTTTGCCACCTCTAATCATAATCAATCATTATATACGTATGTTTAACAAAATTTATATCATCAATTACTTTTATATTACTAATAGTAATTATTATTCATCACTCAAAGTCATTGAGTCTATGAAAAATAGTTTAACAAAATACACTGTATTTTTTCTCTTTTGGGCGTAAAGCACTACTTCAACTGCAATGGTAAAAAATTGCTAAAATTCAAATAACTTCCACGTTAATAATTGGCCTATGGCCCTCTGAAAAAATATTCACAACTTCTCTTGTTTGAGTCAAAAGAACTGCTACTGATCAACTAATAGTATGTCCTCCCCCAGAAAAAAAATTCAAGAAAAGTTGTAGAAAAGGAAAAACCGGATCCAACTAAAAAATAGTTACCATCAAAATGGGGAAAAATCAGCAGCCTCTGAGTTGGAGTCGAGGACAAAATCTCAAACCAAGCACCCTAATCCATTCTTTCCTTTCGTTGATTCACTATGTGAAAGATATCCATAACTTCGATTCAAATATGGTTTTAGGAGGTTGATTCACAAAGCAGAAATGGTCCCTCGAAACAGAATGCTATATGTAATCAGAAAACAGCTTCAGCAGATAATAACATTATGAGCAAACCTCATAAATACTAATAGTTGGCTTTCATAGAACACGGCAAATAGAAAATTATTTAAGTAAGTTGTCCAAAATCATCTTGATATGTGTTTTTGTTGCTAAAACAAGCAATATTATATTGACATTGTCACCATTCTGTCATTTTGACCTTTAATAATGGCTTATTGTATTTCAGACTCGGAAGCTTAGAACAAAATGAAAAAAATGGAAGAAAGCTAAAGGAGATGTTACCATCAAAAACTATATCTTATTGCAAGTAGAAAGGTGAGGAGAGGACTGAAGGAGGTAAAATCCACAAGCACCGACAAAGTTGTAATCTTCAAAGTGCCTAAACCTTCCTGTCAAGAAGATTGAAAAACATAACTTGATTATGCTTCCAGATGATGACCCTTATAAGCTACCAGTAATGACTCAGCATTTTTTCTGAACCGTGATATATACTTGTCCAAGAACATCTCCTCAGACAAACATAACAAATAAACATAACTTGGGACCTTCTTACATAGATTTTTTGATATTAAGAGCTGCAAAACTTTATACCGAGGAACCACCCTATCCTGGATGCTATACATTAAAATCATAGGCCGATGAACCAAGGCCGACTTTGGCAGCATAACTGTATGCAAGAAGAATTCCATTCCAACCTTTAATTTCTTCTCTGATGTTCTAAGCAAATTTGGACATCTTTTGAACATATACAGGCTCTCATCTTTAGAGAACCCAAAAGACTGAATTAGCTCCAGCTTTCTCCTAAATGTTTTACTGCTCAAACCACTTATTGTATGGAGTGCATGGACCAACATTCTTGAATTTTCATTGAAACCCATATCTACAGCACGCAAAATATAATTTTTAAGAGTAGACTGTGGTGCAACGAAAAGCCTTGACTGTCGTTTGAGTAACATAGAAAGCTGAGATCCAACAATGCCATAACTCTCTAACAAGGTAACATTGCCAACAAATTTTTGGTACTTTGGGAGTATCCAGCCGCATCTGTGCAAAACTTGAATAAAATTCTTCTCTTTGTACATAATTTTTCTAATAGTTTCCACAGAGGGGACCAATGCTTTCCCCAAACTCGAAGTCAAAATGGTTGAATTCCTGGAAATAAATTTGGACAACTCAGAACCCTCAAAACCCACTAGTTGAAAGAACTCAATTTTTGGTCTTAGGGTTTTATCAACGTCAGAAAACAGTATTTGGGGTTTCTGACAAATCATAGACTGAAACTGGGCTTCAGAAAATCCAATTTGTTTGAAAAAATTCAGCACGGACAAGGGCTTTTGAGGGAAACTGACTCCTGAAACATGTTTTGAGATATAGATGGATTGTGCTTTTGAGAATTTGAAGTTGGCATTTAGGTAATTAATCATGAAAGTGCTTTCCTTTGAGTCATGGCCTAGGGTTGATAAAGAACCAGAAGAGAATGGCGAAAGAAGGGATCTGACAGAGTTAGAAGACAAGTGACTCAAAAGAGGATATAAAAGAGTGGGGTTTAACTTCAGGGATTGCATTAACTTTCTGAACTAGAATGTTCACTTTACAAACTTTTGCATCAATATGACATTAAACACAAAAGAAGGGCTTTTAGGTTGCCTGTTTTGAGTTTGCAGCTAACAAAATAGATTCATAAATTACCACCAGAGCTCAATTACATGCTTACTTCCATACAGATGCATAACATGTGATCTTGACTCTCATTATCTCCTGTGAGACATTGAAGAAAACAAAACGTTAATTCAATAACTAACATGATAGATCAAAACATGACAAATTGTAATACAAAACTATTGAGAACTTCAAATGCAGAGTTGATATTTAAGAAAAAATCAACTTATCAAATAAAAAACTGTACATAATAGAATATAAAAGTTAAGCTGCGTTTGTATATATATATATATATTCTTCAAAGTTTTTAAAGAAAGAAAAAGTTCATTGGTTTTCTATCAAATGCAATAAGAAATTAATAACACTATCATTCTAGATTATTAAGCATGACAATGACAATTTGGCCCTAAGATCAAACAAAGTACTTAACCTTCAATATTCAAATCAAATGCATACGAAAATTAACATGGAGGGGGAAGTAAAGAAACCACAACAGAAAGCCAAATAGAATAATTCAGATAACAATAAGTTGAATTCTGATGAGAAGAGAATTTCAGAGTTACCGACACAGAACAGAACAATGGATTCACTGTTGGGAAGGAATTGGTTTCTGAGCTGAGGGATTGGGTTCATTTCAACACTTTGACTGAGACCCTCGGGCTTGGGCTTGGGCTTTAGCTGGCCCGCTGGATACCCATTTGCGTAAACGTTCAAAATGAAGAGCAAATATCTACCATTCAAACAAATATTATTTTAATAAATGATGGTAGCTAGCAAAGAAGTAAAAGAAAAGAAAAATGAGTATGTTTGATCCCATATATCATTTTGAAAAGGATTTAAATATCTTCATTTTTAATCTGTCTTGCATTTCGAATTACTCTCATAATCAGTTCAAAAGTCAGCTAGTGAAGATATTGAAAGTAGTCAACCGGTCTCAAAAAGATAATCAAAATTGGGCTAAAAAAAAATTATTTACTATGAAATATAATCATGGTGCCACATAAAGGATTTATATGAATCTAAATTTATATTAATATTACTTCAAAAATAAAATATAGGATAGGCGCATTCTTATTTATTTCTGCACCTTCTCAGCCTACGAACACTTGTGACGTGTTTGTTTTGAATTTTTATTTTATGTAAAAAAATATTTTTAAATTAAAATATGTTACTGAATAAGTATTTTTAAAAAATACCTTCCAGAAAAACTAATTTAATTTTTCAAAAAAATTGAAAACAACTTACAAAAAAATTTCTAAAAAATTTAAATCATAATTTTCTTAAGAAAAAAAAAACTAACCTAGATATTATTGTGGTCGTTGAGCGTGCAGACATACATAATATTATGTTTTTTTTTTTTTTTCCTTTTTTAAAACAGAGACCAAGCTAGAATATATACTATATTATAATTTCGAGCCATTTTGATTCTTTTGAAAAGTGTAAAGTTTCCATCTTAAGCAAGTTTTTTTTAAAAAAAAAAAATTATATGTGTCATAGGATAAGTAAGACTTGATCCATGGTGTAACTTAATTAATTTAAATATTAAAATAATAATATTAATTTAAATTCTAATTTTAAATTTAAATATAGTCCTGAAATTAGATTTGGTAAAAATGAAGAAAATTAAAAAAACTAATTAATTAGATTAATTGACTCAAATTAAGAAAATCAATTAATTAAATTGATTGACTAAAATTAAGAAAATCGATTAATTGAATTGATTGGATACGAAAAAGAAAATTACCCGGGAAGTGAAGGGGCACTAATCAAGGGGGTTGATTAGCATCAAATTTAGTTTCTCTTTTTTCATATTTAAATGAAACATTTTTCTTATTTTGTTTAAAGGTTTGTTTTTTCTAAAATTACATTAGATAATTTTATTTAATGTTTATCGAAACGACGTCGTTTTAGGATGGAAATCATGGTGTTTTTGTAATTTTAATTTATTTCAGGATTATAATAGTCTTTATCATTCTATTTTTTTAATTTTTCAACCCAAAACGACATCGTTTTAATGAACATTACACAAAATTATCTAAAGTACCATCAAAAACTTTTTTCCCTTTTGTGTTTAATCCAAAACTCTGGTAGAAAATTACTCATTAATGTTGTGGTCCCGCTCTTTCTCTCTCTTGAACAAACCCTAGTTGTGAGCCCTTCTCTTGAGTTTTAGAGACCTCTCTTGAAGGATCTTAGATGTTGAAAAATCGTTCTTACATTTATTCCACTCTTCAATATATCTCCCACACAATAACAAGACTTCATCAAGCTTCAAAAAACAATTTTTCAATTGATAAATATTTTATACAATGCTTTATTTTCAACAAATCATTGTTCTATTAGAATTTTATAAAATAGATTCTCCCGTTTTTTACAGTTATCTCTGAAAGTAAATATTTTTTCTTCAAGCAAACATGCATGTTTTTTACAGAATCTAAATGTCCACACAAGCAGAGTCTTTTCTGAGATTATTCCTAGACATAATCTCAGATGAGGACAACATTCATGCCCTTTGGACAAAACTTTCAAAGAGCTAACACTGGACTAAGTAGAGGTCCAAGACATAACAATGACTCGTTAAACAATATCTAATAAGATTGCAGAGGTAACATAATAACTGAAGATGGTCAACATATACAACCAAACTCCAAAGAGGCTAAGAAGATCAATAGAAGAAGACACATGATCAAAATATGCACCTAAAATCTATGGCAGACAGAAAAAAAAAAAAAAAAAAAAAAAGACAGCACCACAAACAGCACATCAGAGTGGAGAGCAGTGAATGGAACACTATCACAACCTAGCATTTTCATTATTCTATCTTCTCTGAGGATCCACTACTGAGCAGCATACCAAATGAATCCAGAATGGTCTGCTCTTTACTTTCCTTTTTTCTCTCTTGATGTCTGCAGGATATCTTGCTGGAGAGTCCCATTCTTTTGCAGCATCTCCTTTCACAACTTGAGCTGCAGGGGACTCAGGACACAGAATTGAGTTTACAGTTGTCAATCCAGAACCATTATTCTCTGGAACTTTACCATTCTTCTGATTCACTGAATTTTCTTCCATTTTGGGAGATTTTGCCTTGTTGCTATGTGCAGCCTCACCCAACAGGCTCTTCAGAGGTGTGTGCTCCTTACTAGTGCTCCAGTTTGTTACCTTGGCTATTATTTCTTCACTCTTCTTTCTCCCTTGAGACTCATTCATAACCTGAGTTAGAGTGGGAAACCAACCAGCCTGAGAAGTGGAAGAATAAGGCTGTCGTGAGTTCTGTCCCTCCTGAGCTTCGGAAGCAGCAGCTTTAGGGCTAACCATGGGTCTAGGTTCAATCAATGTCATGAAAGATGGTTGTTCAAACATTTCTGATTTTCCAAACTGCTGTTTCTCAGATGTAGCTTTTAGGTTGTTCAAGTTTGATTTCCCTGCTTCTGTTGAAGCCAGCAAACCAGTTGATGGTAAAGCTTCCGCATCAATAACAGCTGGTGCATCGGATAGCATTGAGAGAACTGTTCAATGGGTCATGAAAATGTGAAAACTAAATTTTCGTTCCAAAAAATCATTAAATTGTTTTAGCTTCAGTGCTTTCTACAAATAATGCAAGGCAACAAGGACAAAAGAGATGGATCCTCTTTCCCCTCCACCTTCCCACAAGGAAAAACACTCCTAAACATAACACATTCGGAAGAAAGACAGTGGGGAACTTCCTATATGGATCACGCCAAACCAATAGGTAAAGATTATTGATGGAAAATATGTAAAATATTGCATGTAAGAGACAAGATCTAGGCATGTTTCTTTGCAAATACACAAAAACCATTAAAAACGAGTTTCATTTAAAAATTTAGCACCAGGAGAACATTCAGGAATGCACACAGGTATAATAGCTAACGTGTATATATATATATATATATAAAAAAGTGTGAACCATACCACAATTACTGTTTATATATATATATATATATATATATATGTCCATAAAAGTGTATACAAAAAGGTCCAACCATTCTAATAAACTAAGCAACAAATATGCAATTTGCAGTAACACTACACCGTAGTGTGAACCACAATTACTGTCTTGCAAAATTAGATGCAGATGAAGGGCTTTTCATGAATGGTACACTCAAAACATCTAGGATCCAAAGAGGCCTACAGCAGAGATTGCAGGAGGTAGATATTAGAGATGAAGAAGCAGCTCCGGAGACATGATATGTTTGTGTCACGGATCTCCAAATAAAAAACATAGCAAGAAAAGGAAAACATGAACAAAGAGTAATATTACTCTATAGAGACATTATCATTATTGCAATATGCTAGGATGGTGAATGAAGCCAATTTATATTGCTTGCTGCTTGTCAATGTGAAGTTATCTCCATTACAAATGCTTTCCATTACAAACAACAGAAGTATATATACCTGAAACAGAGCCCCAGTTGCCTTCCAAACTGTCACACCGGCTACCAGAGTCAAGTGAAGCATCAATCCCGGATGAACTATATTTAACCAAATTATTACCACTTTGATCTTGAACAGGCACAGTGGTAATGCCATCCCGACCAGGCTCTCCTCCTGGATGATCTTCAGCAGCAGAATCATGTTGAGCAGAAGGCTCAGTATTTAAAGAAGAAAGTGATGTGTACTTCCTAGCAGGGTCTTCTGCAGCCTTCACTAATAATTCTTCTTCTTGCGCTTGAAGTGAGTCAGCGGAAGTACCAACAGATCTGCTACATTCCTCATTTAGTTTAATGTTGGTATTGATTTCATCTTCTTTTATGTCTTCCTGGGCACCTGATAGTGTTTCTACTTTAGTGCACTCTGTACCTTTCGACTTTCTTCCAGGCCCATCAAGTACAACCTCTGAAATAACTGGGCTTTCAAACTGACTGCTTGCAGTATTAGGCGATGAAGTATCTCTCACGATGGGCCTTTCCCTACATTGAGCATCAATAATATCACATTGTTCAATTTTACTCATTTCACCAGCATCCTCACTCTTGAATGAGTCACTTGATTGCTTGACTTCAGATTGCAAGAGGTCACTGGGATGAAGATCTTTCAATATAATTTCAATATCATTTTCTACATTACCTCCTACATCCTCGACATCTACTGTTACATCATTTATTTCATTTATGTTTTCCTCATGATGACTTATATTATCTATGATAATTACACTAGTTGTTTCACTGGTGGCAGACCCAAAGGATGCATTCCTCTGACTGTCGTTTGATGAGGACATTAAACTAACTTCTGGTAAACTTATCTGTTGTGAATTTTTACGAACATCATCAGGTGCCTGCTCTTCAGAAAAGTGAACCATATGATTCTCATTCATTTCAGTTTTCATCGCATTCATAGACACTCCGATTTCATTTGATCCTTGATAACTTTCAACTGTGAGCTTGAAAGGAGAAACTTCAGTGTATTGTTCAGCATGCATTTCTTCAGCCATAGGCTCACTGTTGACCAGCCCCTTCTTCATGTTACTATCCATAACATGCATATCTGGAGAGAGGACACCACCTTTTTCATTCAATTGGCTTGTGTTGAAATGAAAAATATTTTCCATATTAACAGTAGTCTTGAGGTCATCTTCCTCGTGTTTCAAAGAATCAGATGAGTGTAGGCTTAAAGGACTTTGGGATGCCACTCCTTCGTGATCTTTAATATCTCCATACTCAGTCTGAGGATGTGCTACATCAGGTCTATCATCACATGCGGGAAGTTGATCAACATTAACATGTCCTTCTTCCTTTTCCTGCAAAATCTTGACATCACTAGAAGTAGTAAACTCTACCACATGTGCGGACTCTTCCAGAGCATCGTTTGTGATTACAACAGAGTTTAACTCGAGAGGGTCATCTTGGGGCAGCAAAGAAAGGAACTCAGCACCGTTCTTTTCCTTCAGATTAACAGCTCCATGACCCACTTGATGATCCAAGGAAATTTCATCAGTAACAGCTCTTTTAGAAGTTCCTTCACATGTTTCACCTACAATGTTATCAGATGAGTCCACAATTTCAACCACATCTCTATCTGATTTAATCTCCTCCTTTCCTTTCAAAATAGTCTCCTTTGCAACAGATATCAAACTGCAATCTGTCACATTTTCACCAGCACGGAAATTTTTTTCTGGCAATTCGTCTGGCATAAGTTCAGTTTTGCTGGGATATGAGTCACTTGACAAAACAAAAAAATCATCACTATCCACAATAGTTGATTCTCCAGTCCCCAAATCTGCAACTGAACTTGATATCGGATCCACAATAGAGTCTGACAATTGACATTGCAACTCCACTGTGTTTCCCATGTCAACACTTTCACTTTGCACAATTTTATGATTTTGAATTTGGACATCATCGCTTGACTTGACATTTAACTGACTCACATCTGCAGCTGTGAAACAAATTATCAGACACAACAGAACAACAGAGAAAAAACAAATCTAGGAGCGAGAGAGATAACATAAGAAAAAATGCATGTTCAATAATCAATACTAGTGGATTTCATTTTTGGAGAATAAAAGTGTACCCATGTGTACATCCATACACTAGTGTTATCCTGTATGATTTTCATCAATATCTTCCGAAGCTTTTAACATATGAATGCTCTCCTTTTCTTGTTTCAATTTTGATGTGCCAGCAACCAAAAAAGTAGGAAAGTTTGAAAAATTAAATACATAAGATATACAAAATGCAAACATAGGTTCCATAAGGGCTCTCTATCATTTCAAACAGGTACAGAAAAGTTATTCTGGATTGTGAGATATTCAGAGGCCCTAGCTTGCATTTATACGGAAATTGTCTCAGTTCAATAAAAATTAAAACACATCTGAGTCATTTTTTTAATGCAATTTTACTACAGCAGTAAAAAAGTTAGGCTCAAGGAAAAAGGCTTCACTACCGCAATTATCTGATATATTCATATGAAAAACTTGACACGCGATTAAAGAAACAAAGGACATAAAAGAAGACAAAATGCAAAAGCACTTTTAAAGCACTTGCAAAGAAGATAAAAAGCTTAAATAAATTTTATATCAGCCTCATATAGTTATTGAAGATATGTTTTATTTTCAACATAAACCAGCAGTTTAATAATTCATTATCTGACATGAATTCATAATTCCAATGCAACTATACAGAAACAAACAATACAATCTTGAATCATCGCAAGCTCAGTAATTTTTCAGTCACTTTGCAGAAATCTGAAATGCTTTTACAGTGGTAATATAAATTGGAGCATGGCAAGTATTTTACTCTGCCACAAGTTCATACACAGCAAATAAATTAAAGCCATCTCAGTTTAATAGAACTGACATGTGATGTAAAACCTATCTTCTTACCATTAAAACCATTGTCTTCGGAAGACCTTGAAAATTTTGGATCTTTTATGTCAACGCTTTCCACATTGGTACCTGAGTCCAAACTACCTTCTTGTAACCGTTCCTTAATTCCTGGATTTAGTCCACTATCCGAAAAGTCTGCAACTGCATCTGAAAAAACCTCATCTTCTGATCTAATTAATATCTCTCCATTTCCATCATTACCCTTCTCATTGTTGCCAGTATCCAAAGTGTTTGGACCTAACACAACCAAATCTAAAAAAATATCAACAAATAGCAAACCTGATGTTTTTGGAATGTAGTACTAACTGCAAAGCCCATATATATAAATAAGAAAGAGAACATTCACACTAAATCAAACTGCAATGTTAAATACTGCATATTACAATCTACATAAGATGGAAACTCACCTGGTGTTTTGTGATCATCGTCAGAAACATGTTCATCATCCGAACCGTTCAAACGGTTCTGTCCCTCAGCTACACACAGTTTGTAACCTTCGATGGTTCCACAGATCTTCTTGTGAGCGCGCCTGTGTTTGGCACTTGGATGCGGATTCGGGAAGGACCATCCACATTTGTGACACACATGAACTCCATGACTCTCGTGCCCTTCAACATAAAAAAAAAAACCGAAAACACCATAAAAATCTTGCCCTCAAGAAACTTAAAACTTCAACAACAAAAAAAAACAAACACTCAAAAACAAATCCCAGAAAGACAAAGACTTTTCATAAGAAAAACACCAAAGAAACAGAACCCAGAAAGAGAAATAATATAAAAATAAGGGGAGGAAAAGAAAAGCAGAAAAGGATTAGTAAAAGCACCTAGAGTGTGAGTTCTTCGTTGATCTTGGTTATCCATTCCCAAGACTAAAATAAAAAAGAATGAAACAGAGGAAAAGAACCCAACAAGTATAAGACAGGAGAAAGAAGAAGAATGCGGAGGCTAGAAAAATCCAAACTTTGATGGAATGGATGCAGAAGAAGAAGAGTTGGTGGTAGAGCAAGATAAACAAACACCAAAGTTGTAGAGAAATAATAGAACTAAGAAGAGGGTGTGACAGTAGTAGTGAAGTGGGTACACTGGTTTGGAACAAACACCGTATACAACAAAAGGGCCCTCACCCATGTGGACAACGTAAGACACTGTTCATGAAACAGCCTTCTCCCTCTTCTCCGTTCCTTCCTCTTAAAACCCTTCTATATCTGAAAAAGGGCCTTTTAGTCTTTCCGTCTTTGTTGAGGGTATAACTGTCATTAATGTAGAACAGTTAGTGTTAAGGTGGATGAGCTTGTCCGCATGCATTGCACGTGCGTCGTGCCCGTGATGACCTTTTCACCGCTGCGGATAATACAATGGTTACACGGCTGTGACGGCGAGTAATGGGACGGCCAATGAGGCTAATAGTTGAAGTGTGTGTCTCGAAAATATCTTTAGTATATCACATAAGACAGAGGTACGATATTGTAAGAATTAATTATTATTGATGTTATTATCAAATAATTTTATCGTTACATTGATTGTGTTGATCAATAATTATATTTACTTCTATCTTTATATAATTATAATTTTCTATATTTAATACTTTATATTTATTTTCACCTTTATAGGGTTATGATTTCACATTAAATATAAAATACAAAGATGAAAATAAATATAAACGTTGGAACAACATAATCGATCTAACGGTTAAATTAATTGACAATAATCTTAATTGGTTGTTACAATATACTATCCCTATTAGATATATCGAAGTTGATACAATTTTTTCTAAATTTGAAAAAAAAAATCACCACTTTTAAGTTTTTTATTTCCTCCCACATTGTAAATTTTTTCAAATTTAGAAAAAAAATATATATCGAATTTGATATATTTGATGTACCGAATTTGATATATCAAAAACATTCTCGTGTCTGTCACCTATGTACAGTGTATGTCTATCAAAACATAATTTCAGATTTACATTGATTAGGTAATTAATTTTAAAATTTGTATTGATTACATCTTGTCTTTTTGGCAGTGTAATTTTGTATTTATTATTCATTATGTTGGGGACGTTGGCTCCAACTCCAGCATGATTGTTGTTGTGATGCATTTAATCAATTATTTTCTAGGGTTGGGTTTGTTTTTGTCCATTTCTGTGTTGACCAATGACTCCTCCTGTTATCTAACTGACAACAACAGTGTGATCTCGTTTGGATTCATATGCAGTTCGCAAATCATTTTCATGGTTTTTTTTTTTTTTTTACTGTACTGTTTCTCTATTAAAAAAATAATAATAATAACGTTAAATAATAAACCGTATAAGAAAATGTGTCCTTTTAAAGTTTTTTATTTTCAATTGAAAAATAAATTAAAATTATTCTAAAGTTTACTTCAATATCTTTTAAAACACATGTAAAAAAAAGTATTATAATAAAGATGGAGTTTGCATTCATCATTTAACATGACCACAAAAAGTTTCTTACACACATAACATTTTGTGGGACCCGTATATTTTGAAGAAAAAAATAATTATGGCACGCAAAACGAATCTCTATAACATAACACAATCAACTTTCCTACAACATAACTCTTATAAAACTCAATAAAGATATACACAGATGCTGATCTAAAGTAGAAAATGTTAATTGTTTTATGTTGGATTTTTTAATTCCTCTAAACCTTACGGTGATAATTATCACCTACAAGCCAAGATCCATCATACCAAATCATAAAGAAAAATAAGAACAACATAAAGGTGGAGGCATACCTGTCTTCATTGCAGCGGAATAACTCTTATCTTGTCTCTTGGGGTTTGTAGTCTTCCTCAGTCAAATCACCCTAAAACCTTATTCTTTAGTGTGTCGTCTCTCTCTTGATGGAGAAGAGAAACTAGGGTTGTTGTTTGACGTCTTGGGGACCATTACCCTTATATAGTGTTTTTATCTTTATTGTTGGGCCAATAAGCTCTCATTATACTTAGTTGGCCCAACACCAGTATCCACTCATTCAGCCCATACTCACTTAAGAATCTATTTGGGAATATTTAATTGACCACTTTAATTTACCCAATATATATAAATAGTACAATATAATTATTAATATAATATGTGACCCACAATAATTATTAGAAAATATAATTTTATAAGATTTTATTCTCTTTAATGAGGTAATAATTTGGTGCACCAAAAGTTGTGTAAACTTGAAGTGATTCCAACTTAGGAATGGGCGGTGACGGTAACAATAATTTGGTGAGTTGAGTGGTTCAATAGGACCCACCAAATAGTTGTGTTGTTGGGATCTTGTGGATAGAATCATCTTTGCCTGAGTGGCTGATCTAAGAAATTTTAGTTAAGGTGGTTGGTATTGGAACGTGGCTTAGAAGATAATAAAGAAGTATTATGTCACATAACAACAATGTTGGTACTTTAATTGCATGAAAAGATGAAATGATTTGGGAACATTTGTCTTATTATAACTTGTACGATGTATCTTTGATGGATGTTGTTTTTGGGTTAAACCAAATGGATTGGGCCGTCCCATTACAGGTATTTTTAGGACCGACTGAGTTGACAGGCTATGCTGTCCCTCCATTTATAACATCTTTGGTTTTTGCTTCGAAAGTCTCTAAATTATAATTTAGAGTATAAGTTTGTTTTTTATTTTTACAACTTTTGCTTGAATTATAATTTTGAAGTTACTGCACCGAGTAAAGAAGTTAGTCAAGTAATACATATTTGATTTCACTTAAATAAAATATTGGGTTCAACTTTTATGAAAGTAAAAAAATTTCATATCATTGTCAGAGGCGGAACTAGAGGAGGCTAGGGTGGGCCCTCGTCTTCCCTAAAATTTGATGGAAAAAAATTATATATATAAATAGTATTTTAATAATATTACAAAATATGTGTGAGTGGGTAAATTACGCACATGCGTGAGGATGAAGAGGAAGCACAAAACCTCAACGGCTCAAATCAAACTTTTGAAAATTGTTCAGCCTGCAATTGCAAGAGAAGACAATTGAAGAAGAAGCACAAGCATTTTCATTGAAGGGGGCGTGGGACTCAATCTTGAAACACTCTTCAAGTGCCTCTTCACTCTTCAGTTTTCAGTGATAGTAATAACCTGCCTTAGCCTCTCTTACCTTCATTCAGCTTCTCCTAATTGTACTAGTTTGAAAAGTCAAGGACGATTTTGGTTATGAAAAAGACAAAGAGAAGTTAAATATTTCTAAGATTAAAATATTAAAAAGTGGGTGGCTTGATTTGGTAGTTCATTTGCCAATATATAGGCTATGTGTTTCAAAAAAGAAAAAACAAGAGTGTGCAAGAAGAAAACAAAAAATAGTGAAAACACAGAAAGAGAGTGCCGTAGCAGATAAAGGAGGTGTTTGATAGAGGAGAATTTTTTTTTGGATAAGTTACTAAAAAGTGTTTGGTAGGCCAAAATTTTCTGAGAATGTTAAGTTAATTTTAATGATGTTATGTGTTAATTTTCTCACCACATGGGAAAAAAACAATTCCACAATTTCAATAGTAATCTTCCCCAACTATTTTACATAGAAAAGTAAATGATGGGGAAAAAATTCCTAGCCATATTTTTACTTCACCTCCTACTAATTATAGGCAAATAATTTTTCAACCCCATTTTTTTAGGAAATTTTTTTTTCACCTCCTACCAAACACGTGATTGTGAGATTAAAAATTGTAGTGTGTTCTTCTAAATTATTCTTAATCTCTTTAAATTTTCAACAATTTTAGCTATAAAAAGAATGAAAGGACATATATAACTTTGTGGGTATCTAATTTATTGATAATGGATAACATGATTTATTCATGGGTTCGCCTCTTCTGCAACAATAGCATATAAATTTTTTTGTAGCAAACATATTTACACATGTGGATTCTGACATTTAAAAAGAAAGAAAAAAGTCAAGATCCGCATGTGTAAAATAAAATCAAGAACAAGCTTCGAAATAAAATAGAAGACCAATTTCTTGATGATTCTTTGATTACATACATTAAAAAAGAAATTGTTTTAAGTTTTAACACGGATTCAATTATATATGAGTTTAACAATAAGAAAATACGTAAAAAAGAGTCAAATGAAGTGATCTTAATCTTTGTAATAGATTTTTTTATATTTTTTATATTAGGTATGTATTATATTTTAAATATTTTTGTTTATAATATAATTTTTTTATTTTCGCCCCCTGTCATTAAAAATCCTGCGTACGCCACTGATCATTGTGCGTGTGTTTAGGGAGTGAAATTCAATATAGTAATATTACGTTTATATCATTTTAAAAATGTAGGGCATAACTCCTTTTATGAATCTTAGAGTTGGCCTAGTAAAAATGAAGGGTTCATTTTTTCTGCAGTTACTGCAGATAAGTTATCTGCTGTAAGTCAATACGACGTCATTTTGGGGCAAAAATCATGGTGTTTTTGTAATTTTAATTTATTTCAGGGTTATAATAGTCTTTACATTTATAATTTTTTGAGATTTCAATACCAAAACGACGTCGTTTTAGAAATAAATGCAGATAACTTATCTGCATTAACTGCAAAATATTTTTCCCAAAAATGAATGGCATGTGTGAATGATACAAAACAGGAAGCTTGACCTATAAGATTATAACAGAAAATCAACATTTAAATGAACAAATATAAGACTTCAATTCTTAAAATAAATTTATCGAATTCCTAATTTATTATTTGTTTTCTTAAACAAGTCAACCTATTTATTTCACAATCTAATATTTATTGATTTGGATTGTTTTTTTATTTTTTTATTTATGCTTCGTGTGAAATTAATCAATTCAAATATGAAAAGATACATCAACTTATGTTAATTCAAGTGGAAATAACTACAGTCCCTTAACCATGTAATTGGGGTTTGATATTTTAGTGGTATTGGTTTATAATTTGATACACTCTTTAATGACAGGTTGAGCTAAGGCAAAGTTAAGATGAATGGGTTTATCTTTGACATCTTCGGCATTATGCAAAACTGGTGAAAATTTTAACATATTTTTATTATTAATTTTTATTTTAAAAATTAACTAAAGTGTGTTTGGACTCTTACC